GAGCCAAGCTAGCCTGCCTAGATAACACAGTGAGTTCAAGACAGCCCAGGTAACTTAGTGAGACCCTGTCTAAAAATAAAATGTAAAAAGGACTGCGAATATAGCTTAAAGGGAGTGTTTCCATAGCACATGGGAGGCCCTAAATTAATACCCAGCACTGTGAAATGAGCAACAAATACACAATAGATTGAGAGAGGAAAGACACAGATGGTCTCACGCTGTGTGACTCCTTTGGTATGTAATGTCTAGATAGAAAGGATGGGGGTGCTGCCCGAGGCTGCCGTGAAGAGGAAGGGGTGACTGCTTAATGGAAGCTGCAGGTTGTTCTGCCCCCAAGGATCTAGCTGTATGCTGGAAGTGTGGTCCCTCCTGAAGCTATACTAACAGGTAGCAAACACTTCAGCACTGAATGAGTGATACTCTGATGAGCAAAGCCAAGGCTTGCTTGTGACTTGCCTGTAGGACTTGCTTCAGCAAACCCCATAGCCTAAAGGTGGGAAAACCAGCAGGTTTGTCCTAACCCCAGGGCCAGCCAACTACAGTCGCCAGACCAAGTCCATCCTGAAGGCTATTTTTTAAATCTGTGTGCTAAGGATTTTTTTTTTGCCTTTATAAAGGATCATTTAAAAACATAAGAAGGGGGAAAGGGATATGTAACAGAGGCCACATGTGGCTCACAGGCCTGAAGTCCTGGCCAGCACCCCGCACCCCTTCCTTTCTCACCATCTTCCACATGAAGCCTGAGGAACAGGCATCGTGGTGAAGAAACTACTAAGCTTTACTCACCCGTCCCAGGTAAAGACGTCACTCTCAGCTGAAGAATGAGCTAGAATCCTGAACTTCTGCAGCCCCCGTAGGTACTACTTGAGCTGCTGGTGCAAGTAGTTTTCTGTCTTAGGAGCCCTGGCCACTTGGACTTCCAATCTGGAAGTGGCTTCCTCCTCACAAGGAAATTCAAGGTGCCCAGGAAGGGCTGAAGGAAGTGGACACAAGACCGGATCTTTGCCAAACCCCAGATCCTGGCGGGGAGGGGCTGCAGAGTGCTGCATGGGACAGTGCTGGCCAGCTCTGTCGTCTCATGCTCCCTGGCCTGCTCCAGCTCTCTCATGCTGGGCTCAGGGCTGAGCAGCTAGCAGGATGAACACCTAACAGCCACAGGACAGGGTTGGGGCATGAGTCTGAGGACAGTGAACGCTGTCAGATGCACCCTGGTATGGGTCACTGAACTCATCCACACAATGGCACCGACCCACGGCAGGGCTCTGTCCTGAAGTCTATTTGTGTGACGGTGAAAGGCCAGGACTGAGAAGGAAGGCACCAGCATCGTGAGCCCCTAAGGGAGACTACTGCTGTGCAACCTGGTGAGAGCCTGTCCTAAGGAAATAAAGATAAAAAAACAAAACAAAAACAGTGTTGAGGGGACAGCAGAGGAACAGGTCTATCAAACGGAGCTCAAATATCCAGGGATTCACACTACATATAACTTTCTTCTGATTAGCAGACCAAGGCAGCCACTGGCTGCCTCTCCATCGTTCTGGCTATGTCAGGTGAGGCTGAGATGGACAGTCTCATGAGCCTACTGGCATGAGGGTCGCAACAGGCACCCGCTGATCTGAGAATGTGTGGGCTCAATGGGTATAAATGTCAGAGAGAAGGGCATTGCTAAGAGAGTTCTGGAAGAGCTTACTCTGCCAGGGTCCTGCTCCCGTCTCATTTTCTGCACATGCACATGTGAGTGGCGTGCAGGGACTACTCCTGTCTACTAAGGAAAAAGAGCCCAAATGGGGGATCAGAAAACACTAGTAGGTGCCCAGTCCAGCGTCCACGTGGCTAAGCAGTACAGGGACCCTACTACCTCTAAGGCTTCAACGCAAAAGAATCAGAAAGTGGGCCAGGAGGCGGCTGAAAGCCACCTGCAGACAAAGCACTCACCCACAGAGGCGGACTCAGAGCAGGACCAGGGCAGACAGGTTGAGCTACCAGGCAAGGTGCTGCTCCCCTGCCAGGCCCTCGAAGGAGAGCAACAGGCTGAGAGAGAAGGACACACCCTCCTCCAAACCGCTTTGTGTTCAACAAAAACACCGTGGGGCATTCCAGGGGCGGGCTCATTCTACAAGGGACGATGACTTTGTGGCAATGCCTCCTCCTTCGGAGTCTGGGAAGAGGAACAGTTGATGGGTTACATGAAAGACTAAGTGGCATGAGTGTGCCTACGGATGTGACAACAGAAGGCAGCTTCCTCTCCCCCCACACTCCCTTCTTGATCCTTTCCTTGATCCCGGGCCTTCTAGCTCTCTTCTATCCAGTCTCCTGCCTCAGAACCCCCATTCCTGGGGATGTAGGTATTGCACTGTGCAAGTCTCCTGGCCCTCGCTCTTTTCAGTCCCTTAAGTCAAGACTGACAAGTGTGCATGTACATATCTTATCACCGCAAACGGATTTGAGTATTTTCAGGAGGCATTGAGAGAAGTCTCACTCTGAAGTCTAGGCTGGTCTCAAACTTTCAGCAATCCTCCTGTCTCTACCTCTGAGATGCTGAGACCATGCAGCACAGGGACCAGCCAGCATATACTTCTTACTTGGATTTACATGGTCTGAGATGAGCTCAGGCAGAGAGTGATCCTTGGAGAGACACATCTCCAGCACTAGTGACTAAGAATCCCACGGAACAGAACAAGCGAAGGCACAGCAGTCTGGAGTCCAAGAGCCAGCTTCCTAACTCTGCAGAAGGACCAGAATTCTTGTCAGGATGCTACTGTGATGTCACCTTCTCCTGCCAGCTACCTTGAGTCCTCAGACAAAATGTCCCTTGCTACCATGTGTGTCCTCCCACCTGGGGGACAGACATAAAGGAAATGAGTGGCTTGGGGCCTCCTGACCAGTGGCTCTGTGTGCCTGGTCACTTTTCCCCTTGCTCAGCATTTACTCAACAACCAGCAGATGGTGCAGAAAATGTGCCGGCCGGCCCCTAATCCTGCTCTAAGAGCAGGCCTGGCATGTGACTGCCAGAGAGCCAGGGCAGCATACTCAAAAGGGACCAGAGAGAAGATCTCCATCTGAGACACGGATTTCCAGGTGACACCACTTTACCTTCCATTTGCAGCTTGCAGGAACCACCCCACTTTTATCCAATTACAAAGCCTGTGTGTCATGAAACTGATGGCCTGGACTGGTTTTTGGGGTTTAAAGACAGTACTCAGACAAGCCACGCCCATTACCCCTGGACTGAAAAATATGCTGAGCCACAGGAGCACTAAGAAGGCTCCAAGCAGAGACTCAATACATATTTTTTTTTTTTTTGGTTTTTCGAGACAGGGTTTCTCTGTGGCTTTGGAGGCTGTCCTGGAACTCGCTTGGTAGTCCAGGCTGGTCTCGAACTCACAGAGATCCGCCTACCTCTGCCTCCCGAGTGCTGGGATTAAAGGCGTGCGCCACCAACGCCCAGCAATACATATATTATTAAATACCAATATATGCTCCACTAAATATGACATCTGATGGGAGTGCAGAGCCCCATGCTGGGCTACCCTGGAATTCATAGCAATCTTCCTGATTTAGCTACCCAAGTTCTAAGATTACAGGTCTGAACCACCACACCTAACATGTCTGGTATCTTTCCTCTTTTCTCCTTTAGTTTCCTTTCAACTTCCTACAGTGTCTCATATACCTCAGTTTGGCCCCAAACTTGCTATGTAGCTAAGGCTGGCCTAGAACTCCTGATCCTCCTGCCTCCACTCAACAAGTGCTAGGATTTCAGGTGTGCACCAACATATCTGGTATTTGTTAGTCAAAAATATTCCTTCCACATTTTCAGTCAGCGGTTTCTACTATACAAGGGCAATTCTGCCTCTAGGTAGCCAGACCACTGACACTGATACTGTTGTTTTCATCAAAACATTTTCTTTTGAAAAACAGAGATACGTTCAAAGGCACAGATGCCTGCTTGCACCGGCCTCTGGCCAATGAGAAGATACTTCGATTGCCCCATCAGGTGACACAGTTAGAGCTTGCTCCCCACACCCTCCCATCCCCGGGCATAGTACTAGTGAAAATGGACATTTTAGTGCCTGGAAAGCTAATGGGAACTGGAGAAGGCAAGGATAATGTCGCAGTGTCAGTATGCCTTTGTGAACTACTTGACTTGGTATTTGTAAAGCCTCCTGCAATCACTGTCCTTTCATTAAGTAAAGACACGGCCACGGGAGCCTCGTGCAGTCCTTCAGCTTATTAACTACAGGCCTCATAAAATGAAGCTGGTGACCCTGTAAAAAGTGCCCAGGTTCAATTTTATGGCTTATTTCTTGGGGCTTCTCCGATGAGCTCAGAAAGCAAGCCAAAAAACCTCCTGCAGCTGGGGAGCTGGGTGTGCCACCAGACTGCCCTGGTGAAGCAATCCTGTGGAATGAGTTACCAACTCACAGTACAGTAGGGCTCCTGATCCCAAAGGTTCAAAACATCTCATCAAAACCAAGCCCGGCCCACCAGTACTCTTAACAGGCCGTGTCTGGCCCCGAAGTGGGGCCAACACACAGATGGCCTTCCAGGCTAGGGGGTAGGTGTCTTAAGATCAGCAAGGGCCGGGCGTTGGTGGGGCACGCCTTTAATCCCAGCACTTGGGAGGCAGAGGCAGGCGGATCTCTGTGAGTTCGAGGCCAGCCTGGTCTACAAGAGCTAGTTCCAGGACAGCCTCCAAAGCCACAGAGAAACCCTGTCTCGAAAAACCAAAAAAAAAAAAAAAAAAAAAAAAGATCAGCAAGGGAGAAACGAGACTTCAGGCACCCCTTGCATCAGCACGGAATACGATGTGCACAGAGGACTCCGGGTACTCGGTGGGTCCTGCCAACCTTTAGGAACAGAGTGGGGTCACCTGCGAGTAGGACACCAGGATAGAATGGTCCCAGGACCCGCGCCTCGCCCCCACCCTCTCCACCTGCGTCTGTCCCCACCCAGCGGATGGGGGGGTGACCCCAGCAGGCAGGTGAGCGTCTCTCGGGACTCACCTGCGTGAAGTATAAGTTCATGAGCGTGAGGGTGAAGAATTGCAGACACACGGGGAAGCAGTAGAGCAGCCAGAAGACGAAGGGGCTGAACGAGTTGGCCGCCACGAAGTCTCGGAAGTAAAAGGAGAAGAGCACAGTACGCAGAGAGGCCCAGAAGAGGCAGAGGAAGAGGAAGACGCTCTGGTAGCTGAGCCGCTTGTGGCGGTAGCGCAGCACCAGCCAGAGCTGCGCGTAGATGAACACGAAGAGGAGCGCGTAGAAGGCGGTGTAGACTGCTGTGAGGCCGAGCTTCACATACGGCGGTACAGCCGGGCTCAGCGTGGGCGGCAGCGAGTCATTGCGCACCGGCTCCCACGGAGGCGCCTCCATCGGGCTGGGGCGGCTCCGGCTTCATCGGGGCTCGCAGCCGTCCGCTCCCGGGTACCCGCGCATCGCGCTGCACCCGCCGCTCCAGAGCCCAGCCGGGAAAACAAGCCGCACTTCCTCCCGCCGCACCACATGATCTGCTGGGCGGCCTTTGTCTGAGATTGGCAGCGCCGCGCCCCCAGGAGCGCGCGCCCGCACCCGGCCCGCCCATCCCGGCCCTGCGCGTCCCTGGCGCGCGCGCGGCCCGGGGACAGCGGCCTTAGAGCTGAAGCTGGATCGGCGCTCCCGTGCCAAGTACCCTTGTGACTGTGCTTTCACACCGCCAAGACTAGGGGTGATCCGCATGCGTCCACACGCCTCTCAGGACCCCAGGGCTGGGGTTAGGGAAACATCTGTGCCCCAACCCGTGCGTTCCTCATTATCCCGCGGCTGGCGCTGGGAATGGGACTGGGGAACTTTAGTGTCTGATGTCTGTGTGTTGCCGCAAGACCCCATCGATGGCGCTGGGGAGCATCCGCGATCGCGTGCCGCCACACTGTGCGCCCCCTTATAGCATGCACCCCAAATGAGTGCATCTCTTTGACTTCTCGCGCCGTCTGGTAACGGAAGAGATTGTGCGCCTGACCTGGGTAACCCTTCTCTCACTCGCAAAATACGCGCCCACAAGCCTCCGTGTTCCAGAAGTGGGAGTCTGATGCTGGCGTTTCATTGGGGGTGTGGCCTGGGGGCGTGTTTGCGCTCTTGACCTCTCGTTTTCTGCTGATGCCTGGTTTTGCAGTTTACTCTTTTATTTAAAAACCAAGCCACTTTGCAAGTTCCTTTTCCCATACACCCACGCAGTCACCCGCCTCTAAGAATAAAATTGTGACCACGAGCTGGCCAGCTTCTGCGACGCTGCGGAACTTTAAATGCAAATAACCAAATGGCTGGAATTTCTCTCCGGCCTGTGCTGGTAGCCACTGCTTTTAGACCTAGCTACGCAGTGTTCTCTCGGAACTCTTAACTACTGTACGCGGTAGTGCGGCTGCGCTGTTGCCCTCAGGGCAGAGGGGCACTAAGGGTTAGGTGAGACAAGTGCCATCGGATCCACCCAGAAACCCTGTCCTTCCTCGTTGCTGCTGCTCAGAGGTTCTCTTGTCTCAGATGAAGTTGCCTGGGTTAATCCCCAACCCTGCACCACACTACCTTTATAGTGGTAGTGTCAGGGGTGGTAAGTTCTGAGCTCTCAAGAAACCAAGTTGCCTGTGTGCAGATGTAACTGGGGGAGCAGTTAGGATAAACAGTATGGTGTTGTACTGTAACATGAAAAATAAGAGACCCAGAGACAGATATTGGGGTTCAAGCTTCAAACTGAAGATCAGAGAAACAAAGCAGCCAAGACACTAGGTCTTACCTCTTCCCAACTGAAATGGCTGATCCTCAGAGGCAAAAGGCTCTCAGTTCTTGTCTCCTCCTCCTTTTATTCCTTTCTCTGCCCAGCCATATTGCTCCTGTCTCCACTTTCCTAGTGCTGGGTTTAAAAGGATGTGATCCCAGCTGCTGAGATCACCTTTGTGTGAGCTGTTTCTTTTAGGACTGGATCAATTTTGTGTAGTCAGTGTGGTCTTGAACTAACAGAGATCCATCTACCTCTTAATCCTGAGTCCTGGGATTAAAGGTGTGGCGCACCCACTGCCTGATCTCTATAGCCTGTAGCTGACTTTGCTTTCTGTACCCTCAGGCAAGCTTTAATAAATCATAAATAATATATCACCACATTGTACAGTTCTGAAAGTCATACTTCTGCTATTACAGATGAAGGAAGAATGAACCGAGAGGGGAACAATCCATCTACACCACATGTTCAAAAGAATGCCAACAATAGCTAGGCATGGGGTGATGCTTAATATTAGTTGTCGACTTGATAGGATCTACAGTTACTTAAGCAACACACTTCTGGGTGTGTATGTGAAAAAGGTACTAAACTGAGTTAACCGAGCTGGGAATACTCATCCTAAATGTGGATGGCACCACTCTATCATCTGGAGCATAGGCTGTATAAAAGGGAGAAAACAAGCTGAAAACTACCATTTCATCTACTTCTTGACTACGGGTGCAATGTGGCCAAATGTTTTATATGCCTTCTGCCATGCCTTTTCCACAATAATAGTCTAGATCCTCAAACTGTGTGCCAAAGCAAACCCCTCCTTAAATTGTTTTATTTAGGTATTTTTCCACAGCAGCTAGAAAAGTAACTAACACAGATGGTTGCTTTTATTAAGTATTAAGATGCCTATCACTAGTTGATCCTGTAAAAAAAATAGAAAAAAACAAATGGAAAAGTATGATTACATCAAACAGATAGAAACATGCCTACAATGTGGCAAGGAAAAAAAGCAGAAGTTAGAGTCCTTGATATGTAGATGGTCCTAAAGCTAGGGAAGGTGTTAGTGACTCCTCACTTTAAGGCACATTGTGTAATCTCCATTTCCTTTTATTTTATGTGCTTTGGATGAAACCCAAGGTCTGGTGAGTACTAGGAAAGTGCTCTAACTTTGAGCCACAACCCCAGCCCTCCCTTTCTCTCTATCAGGTCCCTTATCAAGGGGAATCCTCATGAGGGTCATAGCCTGTGAGTATTTGCCCTTTTGTGCCACTAGTAGGAGGGCACATTTTCATGGCTGGATGCCATCCACTCACCTCCTATCACTCATCACAGAAGCACAACCCTTGATCATCACTATCATCAGAGCAAACACTGTCATCATAGTAACGATGATCATCATAGTCTTCACCATAGTCAATACTGTCATCCTAACCATTACCATCATCATAGCCTTCACTGTCATCTCAGTCATCAGAGACATCACCATCATTGTAGTCATCACAGTCATCATTGCCAACAGTGTAGTCAATATCTCACCCATGGAGATATATTATTTATGATTTATTAAAGCTTGCCTGAGGATTCAGAAAGCAAAGTTATCCACATAGAAAGCCAAGTACACACCTTCAATCCCAGTACTCAGAATTAAGAGGTAGATGGATCTCTGTTAGTTCAAGGCCACACTGACTACACAAAACTGGTCCAGTGCTAAGAGAAACAGCTCACACAAAGATGAGATGAGCACTTGGTATCACATGCCTTTAATCCCAGCACTAAAGAGGGAGCAGCGTCTTCAGTAGGCTCAGTCTCAGGATTCTCTCCAGCCATGCTGAGGAGAGGCAGCAGTCTGGGGCTTGGTGAAAAGTTCGTGGATCAGCCCTTGCAACCTGAGCTAGAGGTAAGAGCTAGTGGCAGGCTGCTTTGCTTCTCTGGTCTTCAGCTTGAAGCTTGAACCCCAGTATCAGTTTCTGAGTCCTTTTTGGGGGTGGGAGTTTTCGATACAGGGTTTCTTTGTGGCTTTGGAGGCTGTTCTGGAACTCACTCTGTAGACCAGGCTGGCCTTGAACTCACAGAGATCCACCTACCTCTGCCTCCCTTGTGCTGAGATTAAAGGTGTGCTTCACCACCACCCTGCTCAGTCTCTGGGTCTTTTATCATGCTACATTCATCACAGCCAATATCATCATCATAGCCTTCAAAGTCATCAAAGTCATCACCAACATATCCCATCATCATAATCATCCATCATAGCCATAACAATCATCATAGCCATCACAACTATAACAGCCATCACAGTCATCATAGCCATCACAACCATCATAGCCATCACAGTCATCACAGTCATCACAGCCATCACAGTCATCACAGTCATCACAACCATCACAGTCATCATAGCCATCAAAACCATCATAGCCATTACAGCCATCATAGCCATCATAGTCATCACAGTCATCACAGTCATCACAGCCATCATAGTCATCACAGTCATCACAGTCATCACAGCCATCATAGCCATCACAGTCATCATAACCACCAGTTGTCATAGCCATCACAACCATCATAGCCATCACAGCCATCAGAGCCATCATAGCCATCACAGTCATCATGGTAATTACCAACATCATAGCCATCATAGTCAGCCACTACAGGCATCAAAGTCACCAGTATTGTCATAGCCATCACAGTCATCACAACACCACAGTAATCAGAGCCATCCATATCATCATAGCTAGTGTTTCTTCAACCTACTTTCATGAGGAATCTGAGAGAGCCAGTATCCATTTCCAGGGAACTGTGCCAGAATCCTCCAAGTAGAGAAATACCTTTTGAGTCCTGTATTAGTTTCTGCTGTCAACTTGACACAAACTAGAGTTACCTGGGGAGGAGGGAACTCTCAGATCAGAATGGCCTGTGGCATTGTCTGTGAGTGATTGCCTTCAGTGATACTTGATGTAAGAGGGCCCACTCACTTTAGGTGGTTCTGTCCTGAAATAGAAGGGCCTAGGCTGTATCAGGAAGCTAGCTGAACATGAGCCTGGAAGCAATCCAGAGAGCAGCAGCCAGCAAGCAGTGTTCCTCTGTCCTTTTCCATTCAAGCTCCTTCCTTGAATTCTAGTCCTGAATTCCCTCAATAATGGACCGTGACCTGGAAGTGTATGATGAAATAAGCCCTTTCTTCCCCGAGTTGCCTTTGGTCATGGTGCTTGTCACAGCTCCCAATAGTCTCACACCAAGAAAGCCAGAGGTGAAAGAGCAGAAATGGGAAGTTGGCAGGGAGACTGAGAAGTGCCATTCTCTTTATCTTGCAGCCATGTGTCTAGGTTTCTGTGCTGCTGAACACAGCCATATTAGTTCCTTTTGGTGCAGCTATGACTGAAACACCTTCAGAGCAACTTGAAGGTGCAAGGACTTATTCTGCCCATTACAGGGGCTCCAGCTCATTGTTTCTTGTCCTAAGCACTTGAGTGAGAGTGTGCAGTGGCAGCACTGTGTGGTGGGGCGGATTCTTCACCTCATGGCAGGTGTGAAGCAGAGAGATGAACAGGAAGGAACTAGAGATGAGTTAGCACCTCCAAAGGCCACCCCCACGGACCTAGCTCCTCCAGGTAGACCCCATTCAATAAAATATAAAAGGCATTTTAGAAAAGGACCCTGAGACAACATTTCCCTTTATAGGATCTGTATTAGGGGAGTTATAAGAACATGGCCATAGGGAGTCACAATGAGACCCTCAGATG